CTGAACCGTAGGAAAAACAGTTTGTTGCCTGCATTTATTATTAGAATAATGTTCCCAAGAAAAGGCACCCATGTGGGGGAGGGTGGGTCTATGTTTATTAATAAACCCCCCACAAAAATAGAATAAAGGTCACTGAGCTTTTTTTCTTTGCAAATGTTACTATTTTTAAACCATTCTGAGAACATTCCACTACTCCCTGTCTAGTCTGGGCAACAGCTGAAAAATCAGAGTTTAAAAAAAAAAAAAATAAAAAGGAAAGGAATATTCCCAGAATTCAAATGCAGGTGTGCAGAGCTGCTCAGCAGAACAAATAACTCCTTTCTAACTGCTTTCTTCATGGGTTTTAGGCCTGTCTGCCTGGAATAACTGCAGGAATTACAGATGGTGAACTTCACCTATTCTACACAAATTATTATAGATTACACTTAATTCTGCTTCTGAGCATTTGCTTGACTCTTTGGATGAAATGGATGAAATGAATTTGGAATATAAAGGTTAACTTCACTGAATGCTCATATGTAATAGTTATCCTTAGGTTTGACTTTGCAGCAGAAAATATCTGTTTCACTGCATTCAGAAGCACACAGAAGAGAAGCCGGTGCATTAGAAACACGCAGACATGCCTCCTGACACACGCATCACACAGTCTTTGCGCTCAGCATTGTTTAAGAAAACAAAACTGGATAAAAAAACCTGGGCAAAATTTTAAGTTGTTCCTCTAGGACTAAGTAGGTACGGGAGATCTGAGTCAGATGTGTTGGTCAGGATTCGTTGCACGACTCCTTTGATGTTGATGGGAACTCTTGAGCTATCTCTGGACGCTTGCAGTTTCAGCTTATAAATCCATGAATAATATAAACAAGGCAGCTTTTTTCTTGGTGGCTATGTCTAGTGAGAACTGTGCCTACTTGTAAATGTGTGCTGCTGCTTATCAGCCACCATGTTCCAAATTACTTGTGACAATCAGGCTTGATCACCTTAACCTCTAAATTAAACCAAGTATTTCACATATCCATGTGCCAAGCATTCCTAAATGAGGGGCCAGTGACAACTGAGAAGAGGTATTTACACACACACATGCTTACAAATCATTTTATTTCATTGAGGAAAGTACATGCAAGAACTTTTTATCTAGCCCTAAGAAAATACATGATTTTTTAAAAATGCTTGCTTAAGGCAAAACTTACCATCTAGTTACACAGCAGGAAAACAGCCTGAAAGTAGCAATACTTTTGTTGTATCTTCCACCTATCTGAAATATTTACATTTTTATATGCCTTTGTCTTTGTGTGTTTCAGATTATGGCTGTGATATGGATGATGATGATGGCTATTAGTTCCATTTACTTCCAAAGGACATGGACTGTGTCTTGTTCCCAGCAAATCTCCAGTCTTCAAACTGTATGAATAGTGAAAGAAGCTGTCTATGGTCAGCAAATATAATCGAACAATCCTTACTTTTGTAAAGCTATTTTAGGTTGGCATTGACTCTGGTCAGTTTATATTGACCCATAACCCAGCAATAAAGTTTGGGTTTGTACTTGAATTTTTTTTTTATATTTTGGTGGATCACAGTTTGAGGATGAAATTTATGGGAGTAATGTTTCCAGAGAACAGAAGAAAAGAGACAAAATAGACTGTGTATGTGTGGCTGAAAGCAACACATCTCTTATTTATGTGACTGCTTTTAAGCATGCTGTTGAAAAGGAGCAGATAGAAGGACAGGTAAAAATGAGAAGCGTGCCTGTTGCTTATTTGAGTATGGTAGCATTAGTTGTCTCATAATGCTACAACCAAAAGAAAAAAAACATTTCCAACCTGTGTGGTAAACTTGACCCTGCTATTGTATACAAGCTTCCTTACCCAAGCCTATCAAAAATTAATGACAAGTTATGTATTTGCAGGGCAGTATCTGTTTCTCTGAAATGAGGTAAATGGTTCTTTATATTAATCAATTCATAGATTTCTTAAAAGATATGACAACAGAAGGCAACGTTAGCACTGAAGAATCGTCTCCCACTGCGAGTCCAGTGCGGTTTGCGTGGAAGGAGGGAGAAGACCTGGGTGAGGCAAGAAGTGTAAAGAGCAAGCAGGCAACGAGGCTGTGCTCACGTGCCTTTGCCGGGCGTCCCTAGGGACAGCCAGGTCTTGCCGCGGCTGGTATTGCCGCAGGAAGAGTCACTCTGGCCATCTCTACGGAGCTGCTCTTGTCCGACTGAGTTAGAGTGAAGGTCTGCTCCCAAGAGCTGCCCATCTCTAAAACCAGTTGAAAGAAAGAGAAAGATGAGCTTTTTAATAAATAAGCTAGCATCTGCTTTGGCTGAATTTAATTTAATGTAATTTATTTAACTTTCTGTGGGTAAATTAAAGGTCACCATGCAGCAGTCTGATTTTCATGGCTCAAATCCCCCCTTGAACAGTCACTGCTACGTGAATAATGGTGGAACTCCAGCCCTGTGCGCCCCAAAATGCAAGCAGACGGGTCCTTCTCATCCAGATACATCAGCTCTCGCAATGCCGTGGGAGTGGGTGTCAGGGAGGGAGCCCCCATTGCCAGATCCCACCCCGTTGCCTCTGGCCTGCCTTTCCTTGGCCCTGCTGGGTCCGAGGCTCTCAGCTCAGAGGGAAATGCACTGCACTCTGGATCATGGTCTTGATGACTGCAGCTGCAGGAGCCAAGATGTTTTCATCTCTCTCCCGTGTCTAGTGACAGGCAGCGCTGCAGGCTTGTCCTACACCAGGAAAGATGATTATTTATCTTACCAATGTGATTTTCTGTTAAGCTGTCTCTCCTGGTCAGCTCATCCTTCCTACTCTTTTTGAGGAGCGCTCATTGCTAAAGCACCGTCCCTCCTCCCACTGCGGAGGGTGGATTATGGCAGGAAAAGAAGCTGCCTTGGGAAGCCCTCTAGCTACTGCCAGCCAGAGTAACAATGATGCTCATACCTGTGGTCGTCATCAAGGAGGGGAAGGGCCATATGGCCTTCCGTGCCTCTTCTGTCCCTCTCAGTAGCATGCATAAGAGGGATCATGTAACTAGAGCAAGAGCGAGTGCTTTTTTTAGGAGCAGGCTTGGTATTATTTGGCTGGTAAATGTAGTTTGTTGGGTAGGTTTTATCTGCTAGTTATTTTTGAGCCATGTATAGGAGTATTTCTGCAATGACTTCTTAAAAGCAGAACTTGGTAACAAAAATTATGTAGTGAGGTTAACGGGAAGAAGAGCTCTTCTGAACCAGATTTCAGTTACTTAGTTTGCAGTATTTCAGTGGAAAGAAGAGATTCCATATACTTCTTAGGGGAAAAGCTGGCATTTTCACGAAAAAACTATAGATTTTTTTCTGTTACCTTATAAATACTGCACAGAAAATGATATTGAGGAGATAAACCTTTCTACCTCTCTTTTTATCTACACCGTAAATTCAAAATCATGCTATAAGCAGACAGTTTTTTAAAAAGTAGTTTGTTTTATCAAAGTTCATGCTCTGCAAGTCTTTGAGACAGTTGAGTTTGAGCATTTGGGTTTGAATTAATCTGCCAATAGCACTATTACAAATACCCATACTCTCAGTAAATTCTCAAAGCTTGGGTTTTATTCCAAGGTACACATTATTCTCTTTGCAGGAAATAAACATGCATAAATAAACATGCGTATGACTCATGTAGGTCGAGTGCTTTTCTCAGATGCATGATGTTGGCTTTTAAAGAAACCACTGAGTTCTTTATTGCTAAGGGTCTTTCCTCCAGTCTTCTGTGTAGATTTTCATTGGCTTGTTCCCGCACAGGATACTAAACCTCCTGCCAATGTAGTGATGTTACGTGTGGGAGCTGAGAGTCCACCCAATAACTGCTGCTAGTAAATTTGAATTTCAGTATCACATTGCATTTCTGAGAACGTTGGTTCATGCACTGGAAGTAGAGGATTGCAGTTTTTGAATGCTCTCATATGATTTCATTAGGAAAGGCTATTGCATAGTCTGCTAGAAGGGCACTTGGAGACCAAAAAAAAAAAGACCTGCAATTCCATAGCATCTCAGTATTGCTGGCGAAGTTAATAGCATGGTTTCTGGACAGGAGTCCTAAAGGAAAGGCCGTGGTATTGGACAGGCAGACTTCACATTGTAAGACTTCTTAAGCTATAGTGGTTATGTACATTTTTAATTTATTGGTGACTTACCGGGATTTTTATAACGTTCATTCCTTCTTGATTTAACTAAGCTCAGGAAATGTAAACAGATTAGAACGTGCTAGTTTCTGGTTTTATAGCTAGCCATTAAAATGTAAAAAGATTAACACTGCATTAACTCTGTTTACTACTGTTGATGTATCTGGACAATTTTGTTGTATATAAGCAAGCCTAAATTCACTTGGAGTAATTTGGACCCTGCTTTTCTCAGGATTCTGATTATAATGAAGAGAGCTTCTAAGGCTTCAACATTTGTTGTTCTTAGATCTTCTTATTTGAACCCACACAAGCTGCATATCATAGGGTTTGTTGCAGAAAGCATGTCTCTTGCTGCAAGTCGCTTTGCTTGACAGGCAAAACCCTCCAGCTGTTGCATCCAGCTTGTCTGCCATGCAGCTTTTTAACACTCTTGTATTGTGGGAGCAAAAAGTGAAAGAAATAAGGAAAATAATGGGATTCTTCACTATGGTGAGCACATTTTCAGTGTCTTAATCATCTATAACATTTCTTTAAAATTGATGTGTTCAGTACAGCAAGTTTTAAATGGTGCCAGACAGCCTTGTCTTGAGGGTTAAACATGTTCGTCAAAAAAGTTCTTGCCATCCTGATGGTTTGTTTGTATTCTTTGGATTGCATTGAAACCCCAGTTGCAGATGTGTACAGTTAATGTAGAGTTTGCCTATTAAATGACCTGTTTCTTATTTTTGTGTTGAATCCTTGCATTTGTTTCAGTTAGTGCCAAGGAAATTAAACCTGTTTGATGTAAGCATATGTATCATCCTTACACAACCGCAATATGAGCCATGTTAAGCTTTTTTACTGTAATATATTTGCTGTAAATAAAAAGTAAAACCCTTGCATAACCCATCTTTTATGATGCTCTCCTGCTAATTTCTGATTTTTCTGTCTTCATTCTTATGAACGTTCGCTGCACAATTGGTCGATAGTGGCCAAAATTTGTAATTCAGAGCTTTCTTCTGTCTCTAAGAGGGAAGATACATCTAATGAGGCAAGTGTTTTTTACAAGATATTGTTCCACTGATAAATGTAGATAACTTTCTGTAAACTGCGTAACATTAACAAGATTTTTCCACTAAGCTATATAATTAACTGACTGTGGGAACAATGTATAGTGTGTGTGTTTAGTGGAACTGTTCCAGTGCTTGTTTCTGAAAGTTGTATCTTGATAAATAAGGTGTGTGCCGAGTTAAAAATCATGTTATTTTATCAACATCTGGTCACCACAGTTTGGAGGCCAAAATCCACATCTACCCTTTGTACACATGGGTGTTTGCTCCTTTTATTTTTTTCTGGAAGGGGAGCTACTTCGTTGCCTACTGCAAAGTTGTAGCACGTAGTAGGACACTTAACAGTAGTTTTGATAAGGCAGTTAGTGTGTGTCATTCCAGCATTTCACTGGGCTCCCGTACTCTCATCTAGGTGCACTTTTGCTCTCACTGACATTGAGATGCTTTTATCTTAGTTTCTTTTCGGGTGTTCCAGCCCTTTCCACTGGCAGTTGGGAACTTCTCCAGTGATGCCCATCACTGATGCTCTCTCACTTATAACATCTAAGCTGTAAAAAAGTACTGGCCACCTTAGCCTCGTATTTTCTGCTCTTCCCAAGCTGTACAGTTATTAGCTTTGTCCTGTAATTTTTCTCTTCCCTACCACACCAGGCTTTCATAAACCAAAACCATTCTGTTCCCCCAGCTGTGTTCCTCAAATATATGTCCTTTAAGGATCTGAGAAGTTACATAATGTTAATAAAGCTGAAATCTTGCAAAGCTTTATATTAGCTTCATTTGTCACCAGTAGATCATAGCACATTCGTTCTTAGGTTCACATTTTGTAACGCAGAAGAGGCTGTTGTAATTTTCTACTCCCATCACATGTATAAGAAGAGTTACAGCGTATTATTTGGTATTTCTTATGCCCGCCCCAATACTTGGCAGTGATCATAGAATCATAGAATAGTTTGGGTTGGAAGGGACCTTTAAAGGTCATCTAGTCCAATCCCCCTGATCTTGGTGAGTGGTGGTTGTTTAGTGAAATGGGTTAAGCACACAAGAAAGGAGGCTGGGTAAAAATTCATGACTTAGAGCAGAACAAATTTACTTGGTGAGTTCCTTCATCGTAATTGTTTTTTTCTTA